TGTGTTATTCTCTTCTGTCCATCTTGCATTCAATATGTCCTGTGAGTATCAAATTATCCAAGCCCTCTTTCCTCATTATGTACCCTACAAATTTCAACTTTCTCTTTCTGATGTTAAATATAAGTGTCTTTTTTGTTTCCATTTTCTCTAAAGTTTTGTCATTGCTCACATGTTTGATTCATGATTTTCTCTTCAGCCTTCTGTTTCTTCAAATCTCTTCATCTGTGAAGAAATTGTCTAGCATTCACTGCCATATAGGCAGACAGATATTACACAATAGTTCAATACTCTTTTCTATGTTTCTAATGAAATTTCCATGTTTTTCAATACTTGACTTAGCTTTTGAAAAGCATGTTTCACTATCCAATGTGTTCCTTTGAATTTTTAGTGATGTACTTTCTGTCCTTTGTTTAAACACTTCCCAGACTTTTAAATTGTTGTATTTGTTTGATTTTGTTACCTCCAATTTGTGATTTGCATGTTGGGCTGTTCCTTTTGCTGACAACTATGATTCATTTAAATTTAAATGATCTAGCATAATTTGGCTTTCTGTCATTATTATTACAATTTAAATAATAAAGTAAAATATACAACAAATATACACAGACACACACACACACAAATATCATGCAAGTTTGGAAGAACTAATTTTGAAGCTAATTTTAAGGGGGTTGCATCGTACATGATATATAAAATTAGCATATGTGCTACTGGCCCTGGCTACACCATTGTCCAAACTATATATACATTTACTGTAGTCAAAAAGTACACCTGTGTTTAAAATAAACATTGCATGTTACACAAGTATATATCATATATATATATATATATATATATATATATATATAAATAATCATACATAGAATCAATCAGCAATATTAATGTGATTAATGGCGAAATCACTTTGCTAGTAGAACATAATGTATGCATTAAAATACTGTTAATCCATTGAATGATGTGATCCTCATTTATAAAACGCTTGTCAGATGTTTCTAGTGTATATTTTTTTTAAGTTAAGCAAGTACTTTCAAAGATCCATGTCTTCATCATCAGGCTGTAATGTTTTTCCTTTAAAGTTAAAACTTGAAGACGATATAATTGTTTGTAGACCGAAAGATGTTTTTTTAAGAGTGTGCTATTTATTGATGGTTGTACAATCTCGGAACATGCTAGTCGCAATGCTAAAGTTCAAAATTTCCTGTGAGAATTTTTAAATGAATTTTGTAATATGGTAAATCCACAAATTCTTTTTTTTAGAAGTGTTTTTCAGTTAACATGGCATGAACTAAGTATATAGTTCAATTAATATAGTGATATGTCTTAGTAGTTTTTTTCTCAGGAATTTTGTACTGCGGATCAATTGTTTTTTATAAATATATTAAATTAGGTAACATATATTTTATATATAAAGAAATAATCATACATAGAATCAATCGGCAATATTAATGCAATTAATGATGAAATAACTTCGCTAGTAGAACATAATGTATGCATTAAAATACTGTTAATCCATTGAATGATGTGATCCTCATTTATAAAACTTGTCAGATGTTTCTAGTGTATATTTTTTTAAGTTAAGCAAGTACTTTCGAAGATCCATGTCTTCATCATCAGGCTGTAATTTTTTTCCTTTAAAGTTAAAACTTGAAGACAAAATAATTGTTGGTAGACTGAAAGATGTTTTTTAAAAGTGTGCTATTGATGGTTGTACAATCTTGGAACATGCTTGTCACAACACTAAAGTTCAAAATTTCAAGTGAGAATATATAAAATGTATACACATCTTTTGTAAAGAATTGTTTTCTATTACTTCTAATATTCTTCTATTAGCCCCACATGAAAAAGGGAAATGGAAATCATGATTCACCACAACTTCCTATACTTTTTAGCTTTTATCAATGTTTGTCTTTCTATTATCCCTCTCTCATTTGTCATTCATTTTTACAAGCTCAGTTAGGTAGGTTACTTGCTGTGTTCCCCCATGCTTGTTTTTATTTAGTTTTCAGTGTCAATGTTTTCTTTAAATATTTTTTTGATAATAGTATTTTCAACTGTGATAGCATGTGTTTTTTTTTGTATTGTCCTCCCCCCGACCCTGTATGAATTGTTTTTGTTATTAAGCAGCTGAATACGATTTCAGTGTTAGACTAAGAAAATTGTAATAAAGGTCATGTTGATCTAGAGTGAGGGGAAATTGTTTTCAATCTGAAAGAAAAAAAAAATTTTTTTGTTTGTTTGTCTTTTTGAATTTCTGAACTGCTGTAACGCAAACATCGTTATTCATGTATAGAAAGATTTCTATTTTCTTCATCATCAGTGTTTAGAATTCAAAGAGGGAATTCATTCTTGACATTATACAACTGAATATTATCTTTCTTGCCAACAAACATTGTCTATATTGAACAAGAACAGAAAAATAATGTTGAATTCTAAATGTACCTTCGTATGCATTTTGGATATACAACCAAATATATAGAATATTTTGTAGCAAAAATTTCTGATTTTATTAATGCACCCTTGCAATATGTTATCTTTTATTTGCATTTGTAGTTCCTGATTGATTAATAAAGATTTCATTTGATGATTCATGAAAAAAACAAACCTGTTCCTCTTCATTTGTTAACCTTGGCAATGCTTTTTGGTATACAATGTATGCGCACACGTACATTTTACATATATATATATATATATATATATATATATATAATTTCAAGTATGTTTGGTTGAATAATCTTGACATGTCTATTTTTATTTTAATCCTCTCAAATTTATAGATCAATTTCTTAATGTTGTTATTAAATTCATTAAGGAAGGTACCATAGTTTCTGTCACTTCTTTTATTTTGCCAAGTATTTTCAATCTCATCCAAGAAAAATACAGCCAACACTAAATAAGATTAATTATAAGTATCGCAACAATGTTTTAAAAGGCTTACAAAATCAATGTTTTAGGATACTGAAATTGTAAAACAAAATTATTTTAAAAAATTGCAGGTTGAATATTTTAAAACATTGATAAAAAATATAAATTAAGTTACCTCCCTTATATGCATATTATTCTTTTAAATTTGATTATAACAGGTGGTGTTTCATGCACATTTACAAAAAAATTCACAACTATCAATTACATTAATTTTCTGTCTTAAGAATTCACTCCTGAAGATCTTCAATGAGATTGAAAATATAGATTAAAATAGATTATTCAACTAAACATGCTTGAATGAAGATATGCTGCCTGTGTGTGTGGCTGTGGCTGTACTTTTGATGATAGTGTATCCAATGCTGATCTTCTTGCAAAATGCAACATTGGTGGAATTGAGACTTACTTGATGCAGTCATCAGTTGTGCATGTCTGGTCATGTAGCAAGGATGAGTCATGGCAGAATACCTAAGGTCTTCATGTATAGCCAGCTTGACAGTGGTTAAAAGACTGTTGGACAGCTGTGGCTCAAGTATAAAAACAAGCTAAAGAGTAACATCTCAGCTATCAAGGTGCTGCATAGTAACTTTGAGTGAGTTGCCCTGGGTAGAAATAACTGAAGATATTTGTGCCAGAGTAGTATCAGAAATTTTAAAATCACTTGTATTGACCAGCTCAGAGACAAAAGACAACAGCGAAGAGTGTCAGCAAATATTCCTGTTGCACAATATGTGGACTTGTATGCAAACTAAATGAGGTTGTTGCCATCCTCATACATCAAAATCTATGGGAGAGTCCATCATATATAGTATATATGGGACCTACTTGTGATACTGGAATAAACTTTGCATTCAGTATCCCTCAGAGAAGTCAGGTGGCCCTAGCTGCCAAATGTAGACTTACGTGATCATTTCAGCTGTAACTGGAATGCAAATATGAGATAAAACTATATGCCAGGCAGATGGAACTCACAACTACTATGCCATCAAATTCACAAACCAACACTTTAATTCACTTGGATATTGTCCAATCTCTGCACTGAGTAACACTGACTTAAACTCAGTGAAAGCAACACAAGACATGGGTAGAGGAACTAGCATCTATGTAGATTAAATAAAGAGTTCATTTCAAAATTCCTTGAAGGTTGCCTGGAAGAAGACTGGAAACATTGTGATAACAAAGAAGAGGGCATTAATTCAAATATAAATGAGTAAAGGCTTTTTTCCCTATCTTCTTTTAACCAAGCTTTTTAGACACACTGCAATGAATAAAGTCAAAGAAAGCATTGCTTGGGAAGCCTTATTAAGCTTGATTAGCAGTACAAATGTGGCACCAGATGAATGCCTTTTTATGTTTTTTGTATCTATGTACTTATGAAGAATTACATAAGGGGAGATAACTAGAGTGGTCTTTTTATTACTACACATAAAAAAAAAATGGAAAATGTTGTTTGATTTTTTTTTCTTTACTTGTTTCTTTATCTTTTACCAAGCAATTCTGATTTAATAAAAGTATAAATTAAGTTATTTTAGATTAAATATTAATTTTTTTTTCACTTCCTTGTTTCATGGAGGGCAATCTTGTTTACTCAGTGATTCTTATTGTTCCTTATCTGACAAGTGTAGCATCTTGTTCATTTTTCTGGCTTCTGATCCAATAAAATAGATTTGCTTTTCTGAGAAAAATTAAGTTAATTGTTGTTTGAATTCTTTTAAGAAATGATAATTTTCTTCTGTATTTAACCTCTGGAAGTGATAGTAGTTGGAATTTATTTTTATTCAAACAATTTATATGGGAATTAAGAGACTTTTGAATAAAATAGTTGACATGTAAATCTCATAAAATACTATGTGTCATAATTGTATCACAGATGGAAATAAAGTTTTTGCAAATGCTGCATCTGTTTTCAAAAGCTAATTTTATTAATTATTATTTATTAATCTGAAAATTTAACACTTCAGCCTGTATTTTTTTTTCTTTTTCAATTTCTCTACATTCTGAAGTCATCAGGTGAATCCTGTATCAAACATAGTAGGTATTAGTCCAATGGTAATCACTACTCTAAGACCTACTTGGCTTACCGTCATATCACATTGAAACACTTGCTCCTATACTATCACTGAAGTTAAGCAATGTTGAGCCTGGTCAGTACCTAAATGGGTGATTGCTTGGGAATACCAGGTGCTGTAAGCTCTGAATTGGAAATTGGAGAGCCAAATTCCAATTTAATTTGTTATATTCACTTATGCAAATACCTTTGGGAAAGGTATGAATCCACTTCTTCCCAGCTATGGATTAATTAGTAAGACTTGTATCACTAACTCATTATCTCAAAAAAAATATTCTTACAATCTAAAAATATCTTCTGACTTTCAATAACCTGCAAAGGTTTGGTAAGCTGTAGAAAAGAAACCAGTCTAAGACCTATTTAAATCCAGTCATATATATATATATATATATATATATATATATATATATATATAATTGTGTGTGTGTGTGTGTAGCCAGCTTGACAGGGGACAAAAGACTGTTGCATGTCTGTGGGTCAGGTATAAAGACAAACTAAAGAATAACCACTCAGCTGTCAATGTGTTTCATACTAAATTCAAGCAAGTTAATCTGGATAGAAATAACTAAAAATTTTGAAATCGGTTGTATTGACTGGCCATGAGACAAAAGACAACGGCATAAAGCATCATCAAATATTCCTGTTGCTATGTCCTGAGCTCCTCACTGTTGTACAATATGTGGACTTATATGCAGGTCACTAGTGGGACTGAAGCATCACATGAAGACACAAACATAAAAACTGAATGAAGCTGTTGGATCCTGATACATTGAAATCAGCAGGAGAACCTATTTTATTTATATATGTATAATATTATATGAAAAGATTACTTTTAAATATCAATTTTTTTTCCCCAAGTTCGAGGTTTCTTGGTAAAATTTCCAATTTCCAGCGGGTTCTGGTTTTAAACAATAATTTAAAATATCATGTAAAACAAAAACCCCTGATGATTGGAAATTTTAACAAGAAACTTCAGAATTGGGGGAAAAAATTGATATTTAAAATTCAAGTAATCTTTTCATATAATATTATTAACGTTCTATTTTTAGTATTATTTTAATATTTTTAATATTGAGCACTATATACAGTAACGGCCATAATATAAGGAACAGAAACAACAAAGACATAAATATATGTATTACTTAAAAAGTAATGCATGATTAGCAATGAAATACAAAGTTACAAAAATTTACATAATAGTTTTTTTTTTAAAATAAAGATTAAATGGAACAAAGGAAATAAGCTACTGGACAAAAGTTAAGGAACGATCTTCTTAATACCTGATTGTGAACAAAATATCAGCAAAATTTAATATTTGGTAAACATCCCCTTATTTTCAATGACTTCTCTGCATTGTTGACCACATGATCTAATTAATTTCTTGCAAAAGTCAGCAGTAATTCCCTCCCATTTGTCTTTCAATAACTCCCATAGGTGATCCTGGTTTTTCAGGTTTCTTTTCTGAGCCCTTTCTCCAATTATCTTCCAAACATTTTTTATTGGATTCAGGTCGGGGTTCTGGGCTCTGGGCTGGCCACTTCATTAGGGCGATTCCTTCTTCAAATAAAGCCATAACTTCTGAGCCTTGTGTCAAGGTGCATTGTCTTGCATAAAAATAAAAGATTCATAAAGATTATGGTGTAATCTTGGTACCACATACTGCTGAAGAAGTCTTTTGTAAATCTCAGCATTGATATTGCCATGTACGTGGATGATAGAGCCAACTCCTGCAGATGAAATCATTCCCCACACCATTACACTGCCGCCACCAAACTTAATGGTTTTCTTGACTCCTTGAGAAGACAGTCTTTCACCTGTTCTATGGCGTATGTAAGTTTTGCCCTTAAATGCAAATATTGCGACAAGGAACATGAAAGAAACAAAAACAAATGTCCAACCCTAGGAAAATTATTTCAACCTTAAAAGAGAAGACCATTTCAAATCTGCGTGCAAATACAAAAAGAGAATAGAAAGGGCAGAAAGTATACACCATCATACTAAAAATACAGAAATATATTCAATAAGAACACCTGCAAAAAGTTGAGAGATAGTAAAATTGAATGGCATAACTTTTCCCATGCAGGTTGACATGGGGAGCAATGTTACCTTGTTGCCAAGGAATTTCTGGGAAAAATGGGTAAACCAAAATTAAGAAAAAGTAATCTTATTTTAAAACAATTTGATGAATCTGTCATGAAAACCTTAGGCTCCTTTCGAGACACAAAAGCATTTTGAGATTATTCCCATCCCTATTGCAGAATGCACAAAAAAATCATGGACTCCTGGGAATAGATATTTTAAAAGTGTATAAGGCCAAATTAATAAATTGTAAAGTTGGAAGAACCTGACATAGGACTACTGAAAGGATATGAAGTGATTATTCGTCTGAAAGAAAATAGTTACCCAATCTATTTTGAATCTCAAAAAATGCTTATTCACATTCTACCCATGGTAGTTTCAAAACTAAAAATGGTAGAACAAGGCATATTGCAGAAAGTTACTAAAGGTGGTTGCAAGTTGGGGTTCACTAATTGTTGTGATACAAAAGCCCAGTGGTGATTTGAGGATATGCAGGGATTATAATGTATTATTCCACATGCCAGCAGACTATAAAGTACTTCTGCATTAATGGGTAGACAAGTGAAAGTGTATGGGAAAAAAAGACAAAGAATATAATCCAGAGAAAGCTAACTTTGTAGTACAGAAAGGAAACAACTCAGCAAGACTAGCAAAAAATGGACAAAATGTACTGGCCCATGCAGATCAATTCAGAAGCAGAAGGGAGCCCAAGAATATAGAAATGAATGAAGAATCTGAAGGTGAAGTACATGAAGTGGGGGAGGGGACTAATGAATCCAGTAATGAAACTGGACAATTTATGGATGTTAATGATCAGAAATCTGATGAGGAATCAGAAGAGGAAAATGAACTCCGACCTAGGTCCCCTATAAGAAGAAATCAAGATAACACGCCAAGAACAACAGTTTAGATTCTCAAGAATGATTAGAAGTCAAAAATCAATGAAATGCATAAGGCCATTTTGGTTCAGGGAGTGTAGTATTGTACATAAATGGATGAATTTACTTTAGCCTAAGATAGAGGCATGCAAAAATTGCTTTGGTGGACCCCTTAAAAATTAGGACACTCTGGCAATGACTATGGGCCTCACAGCAATTTTTTTAGAATTTGCAAAATTTGTTTTTTATTTGTAAAAATTAATATTAATGTAAAATCTTTAAAAAAAAATGATAAAAATAAACAAAAAGCTTTAAAATCAAATATCTTAATTGACACATAACATAGATTATGATGACTACAATTATCAGCAATGATACATTGCAGTGGAACAATTTAAAAAAAAAAGAAATCAAGCATTACAACATTATCAACTTAGAATATGCTCAGGAAAGAATGAGATTGTTGTATTAATGTATAAAAATATAAAGCTTTTTCAGCATTAAATCAAAATAACTATTGAAACAAAATATGTACAGTAAAAACATGAGAGAGTTATAGTTGTGCATCCTATATATGTGCTAGGCTTATTATACAAGGAACACTCTTGAAATGGGCATGTAAACCTGTACACTAGATTGGTTTTATTGAGGAATGGTTTGGGGGAGTAGTGTTATTTCTAATAATTCAAGATTTTAAATTTGGTGTAGTATATTATTAGTTTAATTTGTTTGTGTTGTTCGACAGGTTTGGTGTATCTGTGGGTGGTGTTAGTTATTGCTAGTTCATTAAGTTTGTAGTTGCTGTGCATTTGATTCCTATAGAATAGGTTAATGGTGTTATTATTGTCTGTTTTTTTTTCTTTCTTTGTTATTATTGTGAATATTTGAAAATATTCTACATTTCAAATGGTAAATAGAATGATATTAGATTAAATTGTGGAATTGTTCAGCATGGATACCAGAGACAAATGAATCTTTTTCATCAATGAACAAATTATTAGAAACATTTATAGAAAAGGGTGCGCTTATTTTTTATTAGCAGGTTAGACAGGGTAATTCAACAATATTTGTTAACCAAGGATGAAGAGTTCAATCCTTGGCAGGATGAGCATTAACAATCTCCATAAAGTCATCTGAAAGGTAGAAGAGCATAGTTAACAGTATTTATTTGTTTGAATATACTAGAAAGATTGACTGTAAAGAAAATGCAGAAAAAGTTGATATTTTACAAGTACAATGCAACTTGAAAATTATATAAACTAGTTTTATCATACATTGTATATGTTTGTTGAAACTGCTATTTTGTGATATAATTATTATTATTCACCTAATACAAGACCTAATAGCTCCTCAGGGTAGATGGTTATGGTGTAGTGTTGTATAAGCATAAGAAAATGCAAGAAGTGCGGGCAACAGTTATCAGTAGGCTTATAGTGATTGGACATTTTGCAGGAAGTCTGTTATGCAAAACAGCAGTTCTTGTGAAGTAGTTGTCGAAGTGGAACTTCTTACTAATGGAATATGAATGGCATGGGGCTGATTCATCCTGGTGTACATGGCATGGCAGATCCCAGCTGCAAAGGTCAGGGCTGGTGGAACCAAGGAATGTAGCTTGTCAGAAGTCATGCCATGGAAATAGCAATAGAGCAGCAAGAGACTTGCCACTTTTCATCAGTGCAGACGGGTTGTAGAGTGGAAAATAATTAATCACACAAGGCAGCATAGATATTTTTGAGGTCTATCAAGAACAGCAAGTGAGGACTGGGCAGCAATACACCATTTTTGGTTTGATCTGGCTCTTGTAAAGATGGAGTATAGCAGGGGGAGTTGGATACCTGCTTGAGCGTTATAATGAACCAACCATTTTACCATCATGTGTGGGAATTGATCATATACATGAGATCTGGGGTGATCTTAAGGCCCATTCGGTATCCTTGAGAGAACATCCATCCATCTTGATAGCTGAAAGTTCAGGATTTGCTAGATATTTTATTCAATCATCTGAACTGATAGCGTTTCAAATCAGTAACACCCATTTTAAGAAGTTTTAGTACTGAACTGCTACGTAATATTAATCCTCCTCGATGGCAGTGAATGCTGGACAATTTTCTGACAGACTTGAGGCAACAGAAGTATGGTTCCAAGAACCATGCTGAGAAGAGTATG